CCCGTCAAGGGCACATAGGTCGACTGAGGTTCGACCCCTGGCTCTGGTTGTGTCGTGCGGGAGGCAACCAATCAATGTGTCTCTCTCACATGGGTGTTTCTTTCTCTCTCCCCCTTCCACTCAATCTGAAAAAAAAAAAAAAAAAAAAAAAAATCAATGGAAAAAATATCCTCAGGTGAGGATTTAAAAAAACCCACAATATTCCTCTGATGGTGGGATTGAGACTTGAGTAATAAATCCCTCTACAGAGCTAAGCACAGTACCTAACCAGTGATTAACCCAGATGGTTCTGATCAAATGCCCTTGTGTTAGCTGTTAGCCCTAATTCTTACCTTGGGTTTTTACAGTATTTGATAGAAAAGCTGAGGGTAAGATGCTGGTACCTTCTAGGATACAAATATTATAGTACTTTCAAGCCATTACAGTCTTAGAATAAACCTTGTAGCTTTTTTTAAAGTTCGTAGGCCTTTATTTTATGTTTTTGTTGTTGTTGTTGGTACATGCCCCTAGCGGGAACCAAACCCGGGACTCTCTGGTTCGCAGGCTGATGCTCCAACCACTGAGCCAAACCGGCTAGGGCTGTAGGCTTTTATTTTAAAAGCACTCTCTGGGACTACCACTCAGCAATACAAAGCAGTGATGACCTACTGATTTGTGTTAAGAACCTGTATCTATTAGTATTATTATGTTTTAAAGCAGTGATGTTTATTTATTTATTTTAATCCTCACCTGAGGATACTTTTTTACATTAATCTTCAGATAGAGCTGGAGGGAGAGAGGGAGGAAGAGGGACAGAGAGAGAAACATCAATGTGAGAGAGACACATCAACTGCTTGCCACCCGCACAACCCCAACTGTGCTGGGGAGGAACCATAATGTAGGTACGTGCCCTTGGCTGGAATCGAACCCGGAACTCTTTGGTCTGTGGGCGATGCTCTTACCACTGAGCCATACCGGCCAGGGCCTGGCTGTATCTATTATATCAAACTATAAAAAAAAAAATGTTGTTTTTTATTGATTTTAATGAGAGAGAAAGGGAGAGGGAGAGAGAGAGAAACATCGATGAAAGAGAACATCAATTGGCCGCCTCCTGCATGCCCCTGACTGGGGATCAGGCCCACAACCTGGGCATGTGCCCTGACTGGGAATCAAACCAGTGACCTCTTGGCGCATGGGCTGATGCTCAACCACTGAGCCACATGGGCCAGACCTTATTATATCAAACTTTTAATCTTGATGATTTCTGGGTGCTGGGTTAGAAATTTGTTTGCTTTCTAAGTGAGATATCTGTTTAATGTTCAAGTTTTATATACTATGCATGAAAAATGTTTGCAATCAGAAAAAATAAGATTGTTTAAATAAAAAGGGGAAAGGGAGGAGGCACAGTCAGTGGGTTCGCTTTCAGATAATGACGAATTCCAGAAAGGCAGTGTAGCCCAGTCCTTCAGAAACATGACTCAGCCCTGGCCAGTTTGGCTCAGCGGTTAGAGTGTCGGCCTGCAGTACAGAGAGACCCGGGTTCGGTTCCAACTAGGGGCATGTATCTCGGTTGCAGTTTGTCCCTGGCCCTGGTTGGATCGTCCAGGTGGCAGCCACTTGATGTGTCCCTTTCACATTGGTGTTTTTTTTTCTCTCTCTCTCCCTCCCACTCTATCTGAGCAAAAAATGGAAAAATGTCCTCGCTGAGGATTAAAAAAAAGAAAGAAAGAAAGAAACATGATTCAGAAGCAAGACAGGCGGTGAGAACCTCTGAGAGCATGGGTCTGCTCTTAGCACAGAAGGGATCATGCAAGTCCCCATCTCATGTGTTGCTGGGGAAATTGAGTTAACATATGTAAAATATTTATAACAGTGACTATCACATACTAAATATTCAATAAGTGGAAATTACCCTTTGCTTTCTCTGGTCCTTTCTTGGGTTGCCCCTCATCTGGAAGATGACAAGAGGAGGGAATTGCAACTAAAGGCACCACACCCTCCTAGGAGAAATAGGCCCAAGGAATGCGTCTCTGGGGCACAGTAAGTGCACACAGGAAGCCTGGGCAGAGACTCCTTATATCCTAGGGCAACCTTTCCCACACCCTCCTCCAGGGAAGGAAAAAGGAGAGCTTGTTTCCCTTGGGACTCAGCTGCCCAAGTCCAGGGCTCAGCCACCAACCTCACGGATAACACGATCCATCCTGCATTGGCCCGCCGTCCGTCGACAGTCCCGACTCCCACCCAGGATTAACCCAGCGGCCCAGAGCCCTCCAAGAGCCCCTGCCCAGGACTGGGCCGGCTGGAATCAGCCTAAACCCCCAGGCGCTAGCCTGTTACTGGATAAAGGCTCGCTGACGCTACGCAGTGGGCCCTCGGGTGCAGGCGGGAGGTGGGGCTCACCCAAAATGGTTGCTCGCGGGACTCGAGGGGACCAGGACCGGCAAAACTGGAACGAAGCCGCTCTTGGCAGGCTGCCGGCAGAGCAGGGCGGGCGTGTGCGCACGTGTGCGGCCCTCCGCCGGTGCAGCCGGACGAGCACGTGAAGACGACGGCGGAAGGCTCTCCCTGAGCCCGAGTCAAAGTGACTTAGGTCCCCAGGACAGGATCGGGTTTCTTTATTACCGAAAGGATTTCAAACCGCTGAGCTTGACACAACATGAGACGGTGGGGACCCAGCTTTCTCCCGAAGAGGCAGTTGCCGGGCCCTCAGAAGGGGCCTTGTGCCAAGATCGTTTCGTGCTGCCACTCTGACCCTACCGACGGCACAGGCTGCTCTCTTAGGCGGAGCTCATTTTACTTTCTCACTCACAGCAGCATCCTCCCTGTCCAAGGAGGAAAGGCGCACGCACCACCCCCTAGGGACGGCTCTGTGTCGGCTGGTCCGCTTGCACCCTCTTCTGGGAATCTGCTCCTGGTGCACCCTCATTCTCCCGCCCTGCAGCTCTGGTCCCTCCACCGCGCCCCAGCTCAGCAGGGGGCAGTGGTGCTCCCTGCAGCGGCCACATTGCTCCCGCCCCCTCTTCCAGTCATGCTGACTTTCCTGTAGTCTTCAAAAAGCAGGAAGGCCAGTGTCCCTTGGGGTCGCTTACATGCACTGTTCCTCTGCAGAAAAGATGTTTGCCTGGCTGGCTCTTCTCACCCTTCACAGTTGAGGAGCCACCTCAGATATCACCTCTTGGCCTGACCATATCACCCACAGCTGCTCATGCACCCACCCACTCCTCTTCATTTCTGGGTGTGCATCCGATCTGGCTTAGAAAACTGGGGCCTTGGAGAATCTGTCTGGCGGATAAATGGGTTTGGCACAGTCGCCCACCCCCTGGCTCCCCGCTGGTACTGCATCACTCCCCTTGGACTGTGGCTGCACTTTTCAGCCAGGTGTCTCAAGTTTCATTCGGATTCATGCAGTTCCTACCGCAGCTCCAGACTAACATGAGAAACCTCCCCTTACATGTCCTACTTGAAGGGCCCTCAGCAGATCTAAGAACCTCATTTTTGGACCTCCGGGCCTGGGGATGCACTACAGAGCAGGAGACAGGGTCCTCAGTCTCCACTCTCCCCTCCACTGGCCTCCTAATCCCAGCCCACAGGTCAGGGGACCTGAAGTCTGGGACACATTCTTTCCAGAGGATCTGGCACCACTCTGAGAAATGGAGGAAGGGTTTGGAGCAGTACACCATTAGAGAGCTGGCTTGAAGCAATATCCAAAGGAGCTGCCCTATCAAGCCAGACCCAGACTATGAGCCACTGCCTGGCAGGGACAGGGCAGGTCTCTGCTGCCCCGACCTGGCCCTGCCCCAGGGTCTCAGCTGGGGGCATGGGCTGGACTGAATGCACCTCATACCCTTGGCTGAGGAGGCTGGCAAGAGCGGTGAAGCTGCAGGATGGACCAGCTGCTGAGGTGGGAAAGGTAGCCTTCCCCAGTCCCACCCCATGCAAGCAGAGACCTTTGAAGTGAGGTGTTCCAGGAGTGGATTTTGGACATACTGTTAGATAGGACAAGTTTCTAAAAGTCTGGGTGCTTCTTACTAAATGCTATTCTTGCTAAATGCTAAACTTTGCAGAAGCAGCTGTATGCAGGATGAGCTTGATTGGAACTCAATTGGTTAAGGGTAGCCAACTGCAAAGAAGTCAACATGTAATTGACCAAATAGGGTATATAAGCAATAGCTAAGCTCCCTTCAGAGACAGAGCTTTGGATGTGAATCCCTGGTCTCTTTTACTTGCTGCAAGCAAATAAAACTACCTAATGATAACCACGTGTCATTCTTGAATAGAGCACCCCAAGTGTTGAACCCTCCTTGAATTCGGTAACAACAGTGAGGGACCTAGATTTGCATGAATGTATTTTGGTTCTAAAATGCACTATGTGGGGCTCTTTCGGAGGAAGCTCATTGCGGGGTCTCGGGATATTACTGGGGAAGGAGGTCCATGGGTTGGTCTGAACATTACCTAGGGTTTTACTGGAGTGGGTCAGTGAAGGAATTGCTGCATTTCTTGGGCTGTGTGAGCAATAGAGAGCGTTCATTGAGTTGAGGTGGAGGGAAAGCCACCGGGGATAGTTCTAGGTTACAGGATGTCATGGGTACCTGGATCATTGGGACTTCTAGAGTCTCTAGGCAAGGTGTGGAAATTGTAAGGTCCTTTGATATAATGCTGTGGTGTCTCAGGTGGTGCATGAGGCAGGGGGGCAGGAGACTCTCTCAAAGTAGGGGGCATGCTGGGAGTAGGCCTTAGGACAGACATGTGGTCACAGGAAGCACTAGCAGTCACGCCCCACTCCCAGCACCTTAGCTACTGAGTGCCTGGGTTTTCCTGAGCAAGATGTCAGAGTTCCTACCTAGCCTGCCCAGCGCCACAGAAGGTCACAAGACTAGGGGAGAAGTGAGACCAGTTTAATTTAGAAATAAACTTTGGACAGTCTCCTGATCTGAAGAGAGTCTAAGGGTGACCCTTAGAGAGAAAGGGTGGAGGGAACAGCATGGAGCTGGCACTGGCAGTGCACCAGGCTGGTCCTGTGCTCAGCAGGTACTGGCAGAGCCTGTGGAGAAAATGGAAGTCAGTTCTTTAAAACATGGTCACGACACAGACACCCCCAGGCAAACCCAAGGCTGGGCTGGCTCAGGGCAGTCCTGCCTTACCCACAGCGTATCATTTTTTAACTCAAATTATACAGCCACCCTTACTGAATGCCTGGAAGCTCTCAAAGAAGCCCATCTCACCTGAAGTGACGAGTGGAACATCTTTCTCAGGTAAGGGGCTAAGAAAGAAACACATCAGATTAGCATTCTTGGACCTTCTATCCTTCTCCACCAAGACTCCTGGTGCCCCCTCCCCAGAGGGTTCCCAACTTCCCCCTTGCTGTTCTTCCACTGTTATTTTAAATACCAGTGGTCAGGGCTTTTCCTGATTTGGGACTCCTTCAGGGTTGATTTTCTGTGAATAATCCCACTGCAAGCCCAGGGAACAGCCAAGAAACTGTCTTCTTTCTCCAAGTTTTACCCCAAATAATCTGCTCTCCTGAAGTACACACAATAAGGGCCCTATCTCACCTCCGCTTCCGATTGTGCTTGCATTTGCATTTGCCACCTGTGAGAAGAGGAGACATCAAGGCAAAGAGCCTGGGGGCCCTAGGCCACCCCTCTTCTCACAAGTCCTCCCTCATCCCCCTTCCCGCCAGCCCCACAGCTCACTTAAGGCGAACAAGAGTCCAGCGACGCACAGGAGCCCGGCGCAGACCATGCCGCCCAGCTGCAGGCCTTCCCAGTCTGGGGGAGAGCATGAGCTGCCGCCCACCTGGCTCCCCTTAGCCCTCCTTCCAGGTGCTCGTGAGCACCTGCTTGTGCAGTTGCACTTACATCCCAGGCAAAGAGGAACACAAGCCAGTAAATAAATACACACTGTACTATCTGGTGGGAGCAAGTGCTAGGAAGAGAAAAATATGCAGATGAGCACAGAAAAAGGGGGGGATTTAAAGGAAGATCAAGGAAGGTTTTTCTGACAGGTGACATTAGATGTGAGTGAGGGGGAAGCCCAAGGGGCATGTGGGGCCTTGGAGGACAGTGCAGACCTGCTTGTGGGGCTGTAGGGCAGCTAGGAACCGGGTGCTGAGGAAAGGAAGTACGAGTGAGGGGGAGGAAGAAGATCAGTGTGAGATTCCTAGTGACCCAGCAGCCCACTGCCTCCAGCCGCGTCCCCAGAAGTCTTCCTAATTATGAAGGTGTCTTCCTTCCTTTCTGGAAGGAGTTTCTTTCAAAGACCAGGTTGCATGTTGGCCTTATGTTCTTTTAATTGACCACACTGGCTCTTTAATCTCCAGTCCCAGAGCCATCCTGCCCCTCCTTCCTCACCCCCTCAAGCCACACTATGTCTACATTGGGCCCCACATCACCCCTCACCAACCTCTAGCAAAGAGGTCCAGGATAGGCAAGGAAAGGGGTTGGGTAAGGGCTATCTCTTCTTACCATAGTTGAAAGAACTATTTGGATCTGTAGGAAAGAAAAAAATAAATAAGGACCCAAACTAGGAGGCAGGATGGGGGTTCTTAGAGACGGAAAATGTGGGACAGCAGGAACAGTTTGTCTGGGGCCTCACTCACCAACCAGGTCATTGGCTTCTAAGGCAGGCAGGCCTGGGTGGGAGAAGCAGAGGGATTGAGAGATCATTCATGACACTAGTCTGAACATGAGTCAGCAGGCAGACCGCAGCCCAAAGGGCAAGGACAACCAGCTTCACTGGGAGGCACACTGGGGCCAGTTCCCTTCCTCACGCCTTCCTCAGCCCCAAATAGTGCTGCTGAGATTATTTTCCATCCCTTAGCCTTTGGCCACTCACTCACAGCCCTTGCTACTATTTCTTGGGCTTCCTGTTATTCTTTCTTATACTCAAAATGGGATGGTGTATTTGTATCTCTTTACCCTCTCCTGAGACACTATTCAGACCCTAGCTAACCTCTTCTTCCTGAAGAAATCAGGGGTGTTTTTCTTTTAGGGCCAACAGATGGTTACAGTTTTCCCGAGTTAAATTGAACAGGATAATTTTTGCAATATCCACTTCTTCGCTGTTCTATTTCCTGTGCTATCGCTTACCTTTAAATCAACAGTGTAAATGAAAGCACATTTATTCGACATCAAGCCCTCTTTGAGAGATGCTGCCCTGGTCCTCACTGCCTTAGTGGGCATGTGAGTGGCAGCAGGGTCACCTTTAGGAGAACTCACCTGCCAGTGCAAAGAGAAAGCCCCAGGTCACTCCGTTCATGTCACAGCTGCAGGACAGGGCTGTAGGGGTGGGGGTCAGGCTGAAGTCAGGCAGCTGACCTGCCTGGAGGGAAAGCAAGGGCACCAAACCCAAGGGTGCATTTGCTCATGAGGCAGTCTTGGGAAAGTTACTAACTTCTGTTTCCTCATTAAAGATGATAGTAGTAGTGTCCTGTGGAGTTATATGGATTGATTACTACTATTTAAGTGCTCAGAACAGTGCCTTTGTGTAGTAAGTGCCTATAGGTTGTGGGGCATGTACCTTGGTTGCAGTTGTCCTGGGCCCTGGTTGGGGTCATGCGGGGGGCATGATGCGTCTCTCTCACATTGATGTTTCTCTCTCTCCCTCCCACTCTATCTAAAGATAAATAGAAAGATATCCTCAGGTGAGGGTTAAAAAAAAAAGTCTGTGTCAGATGCCTGACCCAAGGTCAGGTGAGCAGGGCTGTTGTTCCAATGCAGGGGTTTTTAAATTTAATTTTAATTCTTTTCTTTTATTTGTTATTAATTAATTAATTTTTGTTACAGAAGTTTCTCCTTTTTTCCCCATTTAATTCTTTTTTTAATTACAGTTTACAATTAATATCATTTTGTATTCGTTTCGAGTGTGTAACTCAGGCTTTGAAGCCTGCCTTTCTAACCCCACACAAAGGGCAAGGTTGTCAGGCCTTAGGCTATTGTTCTCAAAGGTCTGGGCCTGGGGCACTAACAGGATGAATTCCAAGATAGCTCCACAAAGGGCGGCACTGGGCCCGAGCCAGCGGAGGAGCCAGCAGCTTCGCAGGGAAGTGGGAGGACAGCTAGCAGCAGATGGAGAGCCTCCCACCCCGGCCCAGGCAGGGAGCCTGCTCCAGGCAGCCCCAAATTCCACTCAGAGTACAGATGGCTAATGGCAGGAAACTGCTTGGTGGATGGGACATAACTCCTTTCTTCTTTCTCCTTAGGGTGAGAACTAGTTCCTGGGGTGGCTGACCCCTGGAGATTAAGGCCCTTCCCAGCTTTCTGCATATTGTTAGCTGCAGGGTGGCATAGGGATGGTCAGTGTTCCATCCTGAAGCCACTGTGATTATTTGCTGAGCCCAGCTGGAGAGAGGTCTAATCCACTCTCAGCCACTTAAACAGTTGTGTGACTCAGCAGGTTACTTAACCTCTCTATGCTTCTTTGTCCTGTAAAATTAGGATAATTATAATAGTAAACTCATAAGGTTATGGCTGAATTAAATAAATTCATCTGTCCAGACTCAGAACAGTGCCTAGCACACATTAAATACTAAAACGTGTTACAATAATAAATACATAAATACCTAGGTCCTATTGCCATAGAAGGGAGGGCCTCTTAAATTGCTGCTTCTAAAGGTAGAGGTTTGTTGCCTGGCTGGTGTGGCTCAGTGGATTGAGCATCGTCCCATGGACTGAGAGGTCCTAATTTGATTCCCTGTCATGGTGCATGCCTGGGTTTGTGGCTTGATCCCCAATGGGGGGTGTGCAGGAGGCAGACAATTGATGTTTCTCTCTCACATCAATGTTTCTATTTCTTCCTTCTTCTCTCTCTAAAAAAAAAATCAATAAGAAGCCCGTGGCCTCAGTAGTTGAGCATCAACCAATGCACCAAGAGGCCCATGCACCAAGAGGTCACTGGTTCGATTCCCAGTCAGGACACATGCCCAAGGTGTGGGGCAAATCCCCAGTGGGGGGCATGCAGCAGGCGGCCAATTGATGTTCTCTGTCATCGATGTTTCTGTCCCTCTCTTCCTCTCCTTTCCTTTTTCTCTAAAATCAATAAAGGAAAAATAAATTTTTAAAAAATCAATAAAAATATATTTTAAAGGTAGGGGTTTGTCCTCTTTTTTTATCCTCACCTAAGGATATTTTTTCCATTGACTTTTAGAGAGAGTGGAAGGGAGGGAGGAAAGGGGAGAGAAAGACCACACTGGGGATCAAACCTGCAACCCAGGTATGTGCCATTGACTGGGAATCTCTGGCCATGCTCTAACTATTAGGCTACACTGGCCAGAGCATGAGCTCTTTGAGCAGTCTCTGAAGCTGGCCCTCTTTTATTTATTTTTATTTTTTATTTTATTTTTATTTTTTGTCTTTATTGATTTTAGAGAGAGGAAGTGAGAAGGAGAGAAATAGAAACATCAATGAGAAAGATCGATTGGCCACCTCCTGCATGCTCCCCACTGGGGATTTGGCCCACAACCTGGGCATGTGTCCTGACTGGGAATCAAACCGGCGACCTCTTGGTGCAGTGTCAATGCTCAACCACTGAGCCACACCAGCCAGACAGTTGGCCCTCTTTTAGACTAGTCTGCCTCTCTACTCCTTTTATGACCCTGAAATTCCTGGATCGTGAGGGTTGCAACTCCATTTTACATATTGTTTAGCCAAGGTTGGCTCCTGTTTCCTCTAGCCCCCAACCCACCATCCATATTACAGTGGTCAGAGTAGACACCCTCCAATCCTTGACCTCCCAAATACACACCTCGTTACTGAGAATAGCCAGGCACCACCACCCCTTCCTCAGACTGGTGCTCTGAGCCACCCTCTGCCCCCACTACTCCCCCTGAGAGCCCGAAGTCCTAGCAGTTGCCCACTCACCCGAGAGCCTTTTCTCCTGAGCTCGCCTGAGAGCAGGGTGCACAGAGCAGGTCTGAGGAGGCTGCTGGGCTGTGTTCAGCTGAGTGGGTTCCACCTCTTTAAACTCAACAGCCTCGCCCAGGGCAACAATACCTTCAGACAGGAGGGAACTGGTCAGACTCTAAGACTCCTGCAGCTCTCTCTCCCAGGCTTTTTTTTTTTTTTTTTTTTAATCCTCACCCAAGGAAGGATATTTTTACATTTATCTTCAGACAGAATAGGATGGAGAGAGAAAAACATTGATGTGAGAGACCCATCAATTGGTTGCCACCTACATGACCCCAACTGGGGCCGGGGATGAACTGCAACTGAGGTTCGTGCCCTTGGTCTGCCGGCTGACGACGCTCTAACCGCTGAGCCAAACAGGCCAGGGCCCAGGTTTGCCTTTAAGGAGATGGCTAGCCCTGCCGCACCCAGTGCAGAGCGGAGCTCCTGGGGCCCCAGTGCCAGCTCAGATGCTGAGGTGATGGTGGGGGAGAGGGATGGGCAGAACCGCAGACCATTCTCTAAAGCAGAAGGGGATTTTCAGCTTCTTCTGCTAGCCTAGATCCTAAAAGAGGGGCCCTGGGGTATGCCAGCAGAGGGGGGTTCCAGGACTTCTTGAGTTGACATGGAGTCAGGGCCTGGCCTTGAAACTCCATTTGCTCAGAGGTCCCATTGCTTTCCTTTGACTGGGTGTTCATTGAAGGGGAGGGCTGGGGCAGATGGGCACCCCTCTGACCAGGCCCTGACATCTACTGAACCCAGGGAGACTGACTGCTGGAGTTCAGAAAGCATCCAGCCCCAGCCCTGGCTTCTCCCCTACCTCCTGCAGGGTGGGCAGAGGGGGACCACCAGCTCCAGGATAAGGAGTGGGCAGCCTTCCTCTGCAGACCCCATGCCTGCCTCATGTGCTGCTGGCCAGCTCTTCCTTTGCCTCTCATTCCACTACATACCTTTAGCCTGTGCCCTTGGCCCTGGATGACCCCAGGCTTCTCTATTCTGCAGCCCCTCCTTCCCCAATTTCTCTCTGTTCACTGCTTTTCCCATTGTGTGGTGACCAACTGAAGGCAGGGAAGTTGCCTCCCTTATGCCCAGTTATGGACACCAATCCAATTAATTGATTGGATTATTGTTGGAAGAGGTGATCAAGAGGATGTGACTGCTGGTTGACCCTTGAGCTGGATCCAGGCAATCAAAGGCTTTTCATCCCCTGTTCTTGAAATGTATGCTCTTCTACTGGCCTTTCAGTGGAAACTATTCCAAGGACATAGCCTTGTATATTTTGTACTGAGCTCAGCCTATCTATAACCAATGTTGTGGCTGGACCAGCCCTTGTGGTTCTTATGATTACAAGATGCCCTTCAGCAATAACCTCTTGGGGTTCATTTTGTTTGGGACTTTCTGTCCTTCCTGGACTTGTATGTCCGTTTCCTTCACCAAGTTAGGGAAGTTGTCTGCCATTATTTCAAATAGGCTTTCGATTTCTTGTTCTCTCTCTTCTCCTGGCACCCCTAAGATGCGAATGTTGGTATGCTTGAAGTTGTCCCAGAGGCTCCTTACACTATCCTCATTTTTTTGGATTATTTTTTCTTTTTGCTGTTCTGATTGGGTGTATTTTGCCTCTTTATATTCCAAATCAATGTTTGCTTCTTGGCTTTACCCACTCTGCTATTGAATCTGTGTAAATTATTCTGTATTTCAGTTAGTGCCTCCTTCATTTCTGAGTGTGCATCCTTCATTTCTGACTGGTCCTTTTTTATGCTCTTGAGGCCCTCACTAGGTTCACTGAGGTTCTCACTAAGTTCATTGAGCATCCTTATAAGCAGTGTTTTGAACTCTGCATCTGTTAGGTTGCTTATCTCCATTTCGCTTAATTCTTTTTCTGGAGTTTTGTTCTGTTCTTTTATTTGGAACCTGTTTCTTTGTCTGCTCACTTTGGCTGCCTCCCTGTGCTTGTTTCTATGTATTACTTAACAAAAGGTATGGGGCTCGCTGAGACCAGATGCTGCTTGTTTGAAAGAATTTAGGAAAAACCTGAAGCAGGATCCAAGACAGGCCATTTCTGTGGTAACGCAACTCAACTCTAAACAGCTTCCTGAAAGTTGGGTGGGGCAGGGCCTCAGGGAATCACTAGGGCGGGGCAAATAGTGTGAGCCATGTTGCTGGAGTCCCAGATATGCCGCCCCAGGGAAGGGCTCACCAAAGGAACAAAGGCCTCTGATAGCACACCTGTCCAGGAGAAAGCCACCTCTCCAGCCCTCGCCCCAATTCCAAACAACTCAGTTCTTTGCCATATGTCTCTGGTGCCTTTCAAGCTGCCGCCTTCATGCTGGAGCCTGGAGGGTACAAGTCCCAGTAAGTTCGTGTGCTGGCCCTTTA